CACAGTCTGCTCATATGATGCGGGTTGCAGCACACGAGCTCCGGGGTGATTTCCCCGTAGGATTCACAGCACGAAAGTCTCTTTAATTCCGAGGAATGCCGGAGGTCCGGCCACCGGAACACCTTGTAGAGCAGCAGCGGCAGCGGGTACGACTGCTGACCCAGCCTGGCGTCCGCTTTCCCGGGCAGGAGGAGGCAGGGGCTCCGCGCTCCGCCGCGGGACTCCACCGCCTGCAGGAGCACCTCCAGCTGCTTCTCCTTGATCTTCTTCAGCATGGAGTACGTCAGCGCTTTCAGTTCGGCCTCGGTGCCGGGGTTCGGCTTACTGGCGCCCGGTTTCCCGAGACAGCAGCCCGCGGTGCCGCCACCGCGCGTACCGGTGTCCGCGTCTCCGTCGCCCTCCACGGGCGCGCGGCTCCTCCAGAGTCGCCGGACGAGCCCCGATCGTTTGGTCCTGAACATGCGGGACGACAAGAGGGTTCCCCGGCTACAAAACGGCCATTTTGTCCGCAAGTCATGAAGATCCGGAGGTCCGAATCCACAGGCGCAGAGCAGACGGCGGAGAAACGGCGAGCAGGAGAAGCGCACGCGATCCGTTTCATACGCCAGACTTTAATATTTCACCAGACGAACCGACACGGAATCCAAAAAGGAAAAGCTGAAACGACTGTCTGCGCTGCTGGGAACGACCTCAGATCTCGCTCGCACCGAGCTGCTGGCAGTGCGCAATCATCGGAACAGATCCATGAGGAACCAGTTCGAGCTTAATCCACAGCGATGGTTCGTGTTCGGGATTATTAATCAAATCTGCAGCTCGGCTCGAACTGACAGCAGCCTATAAATCCACATCAGACCCCGCTGAAGAAAACCTCTCGCGCTCCCCGACGACGATACGATATTATAACGCTGGGAATATCCACAAATCCCCGTCTCCAGATCCTAAATGCGGGAAGTTTCCGAGTCGATGAAGAACTGAAGGACTGAGAACGAGATGAAGATCAGACGCCTCTCTCTCTCTCGGTGTGTGTGTGTGTGTGTGTGTGTGTGTCTCCGCGTCTCTCATTG